TTTTGGAATGAAAGTCCCCGGAAAAAGCCCAGTTCAGGACCCCCCGGCCCCCCCCCCCCCCCCCCATATCTGCCATTGAAACGAGACTCTCCTCGTTTCCTGATAGAGACAACCCTGACTATGTATGCAATTAATTATTTTTATAATTAAAACTTATGGAGTCAAATTAATAACTGCTCAAAACTCACAAGGTGCGGTTCTTATGAATTAATACGTTTAGTTATAGTACTTTATGTCCCAGATTTCTGAGTATAGATGAGTAAGACGAAAAAAGACACGTAGCCTCTATAGACTGTAGTGAACTGTAATAACAGCATATTTAATAAAAAAATTACCTTCAACCCTAGCTCACAGAGGAGACAAGCCTTATGTAACATCCAACTTTCGTGACCACCACCCCCTCAACACTGGGAGCCTTTTATGACCACCACCCCATCTCAATACTGGGGCCTGACATGACACCCAATGTTTTTTTCATGGACAATTTCTCCGCATCGTTGCTGCAATGTGTGATTTATGGTAATGAGGACATTACAGTTGTCAACGTTATGGCTCTTTGGGACAGTATTCATTATCATTCAGTTTATCCAAGCCTTGGCATTTAATCTTTTTTTAATATGGTCGGTAGTAGGCAGCTTTCGGACTGCCCATGGTGAGAACATATCGCCTCTCACCCAAACCTAATATAGAGGTGCATTTCACACGCTGAAGTGTCCAATAATAATAATAATAGTAATAATAATATTGAATGAATTAAAGGTGTATTCATTTTTTTCAATTTTTAAAACGTGTATGTGTATATATAGAACCAAAAATCCACGACTGTCTCAATTTTAATTTAATTTTTAATTTTTACCTTGTCTTTACATTATGTAAAGAGCCCTAAATGATAACGTTTTAATTGATTTGATTGATTAAATTGATAAACGTCTCTTTGTAATCCTACCCAAGTAAAACGCTACCACTGTAATTTTTTCATTCAGTTTTATTCAACATAACCACTTAAAAGATCTGCCGCAAAATCCAGTCAGAAAAAATTTTGATAAGATTGGTTTTCTTCTGTTTTGAAAGGTGATCACAATCAGTTCAAATAGAGTAATTATTGGTCCTAATTAGTTATTTATATTTGAATTAAAACAAGCGGTGCTTCGTCTAGGTTCACAGAATGGTTCAGGTTTATATGAAGTCAAAGTAGACTAAAACTTTTGTCTAAAAGGGACCTGAGTCTCCCTAAGTAAGATAACCTTGATCCTTTATTTCTCTGCTCTAGATCTGCCAACACGATTCAAAGATATATATTATTGTACAACTTGGTTTGAACAATACATCAAAACTATGGACATTAATAGGTTGCACTGATTTTTTTCTTTTAATCAAAAGGCCGACATACGTGTGATAACCTTTTTTTCTATAAATGACAAATTTTATTAAAGATGAACTTATAATTCCCCAACATATATAACATGATATTATATGACAAAAATATCACAATGTGATCCTTGACTTAAAGAACAATGTGTGTTTTCAAGAATTGTACACGTGTAAGTGTCCATGAAACCGTCTTCTTGATTAATGTATTTACATTTTGTTATCGATATTGATAAGTATCCTGGGTTATTTACAGTAAACTGTTGAGTATACTACTGATTATTGAGTGTTGAGTGTATTATTGAATACAAGATCTTTGTTTAATACAAAATAATAGATTCATAGTCTCTACCTTTGAAGAGGTTACCCTTTACACTGCTATTACTTCAGTTCGGTATAATTCCACGAGATCAGTGATCTAGGTTGCTTTGTTTTCACTGAAGAAGTCCGATAATTCACAGCGTACTCATTGTCTGTGCTTGGCATGAACCGTTTTCATACAGTTACCCATGATGTTTTATAAACACATTCACTATTAAATAATTATCAGTGATAAAGAAGCACAATTGAACATCGCTCATCTAAACGCATCCATTACAACCAGGAACACAACTACCGCAATCCATTCCGACAAGCGTGTTGCGCCTGCACCGGCCTTGCAATGACCGCTGACGCAAAACTTTGGACGCCGAGTTACCCGGAAGCTGTTCTCTGGCGTTGCATGCTCCGCTTCGGGTTGTTTTTTCGTAGTTTGCTTCTCTCTGGGCCTGGAGGTTTTTTGGACAATCTTCTGGGTGGTCTTTTTCGTTGTAGTCGTAGGTTCAGGTGTTGTCGTGACCGTGGTAAGGCCCGGATGTTTACCTGTGTGGGGGGAAAAGAGAATTTTATGTTCCAGATGTTGGTATCAGGGAGACATACAGATTTTTTAGTGTTATTTGTTGTCGCTTTATAATTAAAGTTAAGAAATTGGTTGATTTTTTTATTGAGTTATGTTCCCGAATGTAAATAGCAGCGTCGACACTATGTAGGCTATTTTGTGTCTGAGGTCGAAATAAACAAGAAAGCCATACTGCGCTTACATGAGTATATGAACATATATGCTATAATCCTCACCTGTGAATATTTTTCCTTCGTAACAGTCTTTAACATTATCCTTATTGTCACATCCATTAATGGTAGGATTGAACCACGTGCCATTTGCGCAGGCCACCGTGGCCCGTATTCCTGAGAGACAGCGGTAATACAGGGTGCAATCGGTCTCGTGTCTAAAGATGGGCTTCCCGAATGTGTCACACAGAACTGGACCAGGTGTGGTTTCAACCGTTGTGGTTGCTTCTGTAGTTGTTGTGGCAGGTGTTGTTGACTTTTCTTTCTCACCTGCAATGAAGGAGTGTGGTTTGATAATGTGACTTTTATACTTCGGTAGACGTGAAATAGAAAGGATCGACCCGAGGTGGCGGACCTCGCATCCAAGCTTGACAACCCTACATGCGAGAATCACTACAACTGGAACTCGTATTCTCGTCGTCTGCAGTGGCAGAAAATCTCAGTAAAACAATCATGTTTAATAAAACTTGTAGAAGGCACAGTGTGGGCGACACAGGGTCTTCAAAGCCGATTGATCAGTCATAACAGCTGCTACAAAACACTTGCTCACCGTATTCCAAGATTATTGTCCGCAAGGTTTATAACTGGAGGAGCGTTTAGTTTTTACTGTACATCGACTCTTACTGAATATTCCTATAAGGTTGTTGGGCATACCATACACAAAAGAGAAATTAAAATGTAATTTGTTGAATATTAAGGATCTGGTCGAGACGGAGAGAATGATATTCCTGCACCCCCACCCTTCTCGCTCGAGCGGAAGAAATGAGGGTAACAGACTGTCCACTGTAAGTGATACGGTAGGTCGCACTTACCATAGAAGTATCCACGGTGGAGATCCACGCTGCATTCTGGGTAATCCTTCAGGTGGGTGGTACATTTGCTGTACACGGAGATGGAACCCTCGGGACAGGAGTTGGGGGTTCGGCGAACTTTGCCCTTAGAGCAAGTGTACCACTTGGTGCAGTCATACGGATGCGGGACGAAGAAGATGTTCGGTTGCTTACACTGCAGTATAGGGACCCCGTTACGTTGACATATGTCTCTGACGTTGCCCGGCGCGTCGCAGAACATCCCGGATGGGTTGAAGAAGCCGCCGTTCTGGCAGACACCGACTCTGTGGTCGCCGTTGTAGCACTGGTGATAGAGGGAACAGTTCCTGGGCTCGGCGTACCATCCGTCTCCAGCCTCGCTACAGTTTACAGGAGACAGGTAGACGCGAGGGTCAAAAGGAGGCTTCGTTGTTTTAGCTGCTGCCTGGGTAGTGAGATCTGAAAGATTGACAAAGAGAGAGATTAATACGGTTATCGATTAATAAATAAATTGATCAATCCATGTATTAATTCATTATTTTAATCCCTCACGCACATGTCTGTTTATGTGTTCTTTTATCTATTCATTCATCTCTTTCTTTAGTAGCTTTTATCATACAGCGCAATGACGAAATTACTTAAAGGCCTGCAGACGTGTGTTCTTCTGAGGCGAATTTTTTTTATATCCAGTCATGTTTTTTCCACTCATATGCCTGAATTTATACAGTGTAGTGTCAGAAAAGAATTTCGTCAGCTGTGTTATGTTATTAGATTGGTTTTTTAGTCAACGGCTAATATAGATAAGTCCTAAAGGCCATTCACATCAAGAAGACAGGGGCCAGTCTCAACAGAAATGATGGTGCCATCCTCCCTGACCTCTACCTCCCTTTCCTAAGAAAATGGGGGGGGGGGGGAGGCTGGCAAGTACACCTCCTGAGTAGAGGCTATTTACCTGGATAGCCTCATTCCCTGATGAAGATGTCCTGCTAAACATCGAAATATTGTAGGTAAAATCTATCTTAATATTAGCTGTTGACTGAAGAAAAAATTACACCATTCTTAGTGAAGTGTGTTTTTATATAACCGACTTCTTGCCTGCCTCCCCCCAACCCTCTAGACACCCTAGATCGCACGGTCATATCACAACACCCCTCACCTGGAGTCTCTTCACAGAAAAAGGTGTTACTCCTCAAGTCACACATTCCACCAGCGCCCCCTGTCGGGTTGAAAACAAGATCTCCCGCGCACTGCATCTCGAGTACCCTCCCACCGCTGAGACACTGAAAATAGGTGGCGCTGCATCCTGAGGGGTGGGGGAAGTTGCCAATCTTGCCCTTGCAGGCATATGGCGGCGTCGTTGTTGGGGCCGGAGTGGTAGTTGTCACCGCTAAGGTCGAAAAAAATTTCATTATTTTGATCCCATAAAGATGCATTTATACATGCATAGCACTGACAGAATGTTTCTTTCATAATGTTCGAATGCAAAAAAAAGAAAAAAAATTAAAAAAAAAACAGTGCGTAAGCAAATATACATGTACTAGTACAATGCACCGATAGATATAAAGGCATATATATATATGCTGAAAATCTTAATCTATAGTTCATATAGGTATATAGGTTGGTGTCTTTGGAATATACAGCTGTTAGAATAAGTTCCTCTTCCTCTTTATTATTATTATTATTATTATTATTATTATTATTATTATTATTGTAATTGATGCTGTTGGCTTACACTCCCACCGTATCCCTGCTTCGTTACATTCGTTCTTCATATTGGCTCTGGCAATGCAGTTCTTCCTGGTCTTACTGAACCAGTACGCGTCCCCCGGGCACTGCAGTATTGACGGCTTCCCCCGGGAACACAGGTAGAACGAGTTACAATACACGGGGTGGGGGAAGAAATCGGTTCCCACAGTTGGACAGGTGAATTTGGCCTCGGTGGGTTTCGGGGTAGTAGTCGTGGTTGTCGTGGAAACGGTGGTTGTTGACGTGGTAAACTGGCCGGAGATGGTGATTCTCGGTAATGGCGTCGCTGTTGTTGATGTCGTCAATTCGTAGCCGGCTGAAAAATACATCAGCTTTGTTATACAGTGCTGCCTGATTTTACATGGTTGTTATCAATTCAAAGTTATAAATCCTTGAGGTATTTACATGAAAATGCAAACATATACAACTGAAAATCTTAATACGCATGAATGATAAAAGAAGCATATGAAAGTCTGTAAAATCACTGATGACTTAAGATCCACATTTATTCATTAATCGCATCAACATACTGAATAGAAGGGCATGAAAGTCTCGTGAGTGATTCCTTAACTTGCTCCAAACATGGGCTGATAAAACAACACTACCAAACAAATGGGTAATGGTGTTACTTACGCCAAGTTATCCTATCTCCCCATACAGCGCACTCATTCGTCGAGTTCCGGTAGGGGGCGCATCGCCCGTCTTTCTCACTGAAGTAAAGCCCGTTGCTGCAGATGGCCACGCTGGACCTCCCCGCAAAGCAGAGGAACATCCGGGTACAATCAGGGTGTCGGTAGGCGCTGAAGGACGCGTCAGGACACTTGAACCTCACCGGTGCTGTAAAGATCATTTTTTCTTGAGAACTACAGAAGTTGTATTATCTACTCGGTTACCGTGATAGTTTCTTCTATCAACAAATGAAATAAGAGATATTCTACAATATCTCAGTGCATGTCACATTTTTTTCAGAATGTTTTAGATAATAAAAACATGTATATTGAGAGAGGAAATGCAGATGACTAAAAATTCACAACTGATCGCCTGCTACTGGAGACAGTTGAATAAATAAATTAATAAGTAGGTTTGTTTGATAGGTGGGTAAATTGAACATTAAATAAATAACTGAATATCAGAGTAGTACTGAGCAGAAAGATAAGAGCCCTAAAGAACAGAAAAGAACAAAACTGAATTAAAACACAGCAAAAGCCTCTGACAATG